AAAACTACGGCGGCAACACTCCTTACCAACTATTGAAAGCTATAACTTTCTGTTACCGATCGTAAATATTCTCATGACAGAGCCTATATGGTACGTTGGAACAAACTTCTCATGTCTCTGGCACGAGCACTATGGATTTGATGATCCTTCTCTTCTAATGCCCTTATTACATCTCCTCACTGCTATGCTTCTAGAAGAGAAGGAACGCTTATAGGCTTGCCATTTATACGACCATGTATACGCTTATATCGCTTCATGGTATCGAATTCCTGGTGCGCTAATGAATTTTGTGATAGATACACACACGTATATGAGCCAATAAGCGTTCATGGTATGCTCAGGAAGGGAACTATGCTTCATTAGCTAGTTACCATAGATATCGGTCCGGAACGATGGAAGGAGGGTCTACGGACAACTTGAACTCAATTCCATTGAATGCGTCGGCCATCTTTTTCTCTGCACTCTCTCGTCCGTGTTGCATTCTGTGGTCATTGTGACCCCACATATCCCGCTTTCGCCCGTGGTAAGTTGGCTCACCCCTGAGTCCCCCCCCCCACGTGAAATAGCTTGAACCAAGGCCGGTACATGTTCATAGCACATTTCGATTTTCTGGCAGCAGCTATCCTCTACTTTTCTGCCTTACAAGGTTTCGCAACAGGACCAAAGGTCAGGATGTCACGTGACCTGATAGAAGCCAGCAGCGCGGGAAACTGCTTCTCTGGTTTCAGCCCGCGTGCTCGCCATTCGGTTCAGTCGTCATCCTGTCATCCTAACAGGGCACATCGTTGGTTGGGGAATCCCCAACTATTTGGCCGCCAGGAGAGGGGGGGGGTCGTAGTGAGTGCGGTAGCCAGTAACGAGCAGCGCAAATTGTCAATGTGCTGAGTCCTGTACAGCGAAACTTGCTTTGTAGAGAACTCGGATATGCAAAAAAAATAGTACAAAACTTTCATTCATCAAACTAATCCGAAATAACTGCAAATATTAATAAGTCGACATTATCTCGTAAGTCCGTTGGTGACTAAACAGTACAACTCATACTCTGGTTCGCTGCGGATGATGGGGCGTGTCCGCGATTACGCTTGGCGCTGAGCCAACCTCTTTTTTCAACAAACGACAGGACTACCATATCGTTCGTACCAGACGTTTTCCAGCAGTTGGTCTCCTTTATCGGAGACAGCAATTGGCGGAGCACACATCTGGCGGCGTCGACACAGACACGCTCCATCATCCATCATCGCAAGGGAAAACACTGTAAACAAGTGCACAGGTTCGCCATGGATCTCCCTGAATCCTATAGACACATTTGCTCGCGTGGACAGACATTACGCACAAGTTGCACCATCCCATCACCTCTTCCCTCAGTGCGCGGACTCGTGCGCGCGACGCATCCAAACGTCCAAACGTTGATCGGACCTGGCCTAACCACGCACCCACTTCTGCTCCTGCTCCACCAGAGGATACGTCATGCGTTCCTGGCTTATTCGAACACGCTCACTTGAAACGGTACACAGGAAACGGGTTTTTCGCGCAGCTGGGAGTGTTCCCCAAGAAATCCCCATCGCGAGATCTCATGAATCCCGAGAACTTCAGAAACAGTCAAGAGGTTTTTAGAAAGAGAAAATCTTCAAACACTCGAAACCGTTCTCAGATTTGTGAAATGTTGAGTTACAAAAAAATATATTGATTCAAACCTGTTCAGTTGAAATCACTCCCGAATCCCCATGGCAGATTCTCTTTGATTTTTGCGACCTTTAAACGTTAAACGTTTCAGTACTTTTAGGAAGTGCAAACCTTCCTCTACACGAATACGGTCTCTTCCCCACAGGTCCGCTTTTGAGGAAGTTATGGTCCTTCAAAGACACCCCACTTTGCTGAAAACTCGTTCCACATGGCTGGTCCTGCCCAGAATCCCTCCCCGGGTACCTCGGTCGTTTTAATCAGCTGATTGCGGCTGGTTTGCTCTCGTTCGTATTTACTCTTTCGTATTTATCTTCTTCTCGGTTTATTCGAATATCGAATATTTATCTTCTTCTAGTTTACTCGAATACACGTCAGAGCGCGCCCCAGCAATTTTGCTTGGACCGCTCAGAGTGCTCTTAGGAGGAATTGGCTTGATTTCCTGTTTTTTTTTCTTTTAATTGCAATTGATTTAGGTACCAGAGTTTGTTTTGACTCGAGGGAAGGTGGGTGAAACCTAATGGCCTTTCTTTTCTATTTTTCTGATTTCTGAATTATTTCCGAATTAGGATAGGAATGAGCAAAAAGCGAGGGGGGCCTCATTCAGGATTATTTTTTCCATTTTTCGCGCTTACTTATACATAAACTTATGAAGTTTCTTCCTCCCGCTCGGGGGGCCGTGATCCGGGGGGGGGAGGGGCAAGAGAGCTTTTTTTTGTTTCTTCATAAGTTTAGGTATTAGGTATAGGGGGGGTCGTACCGAACCCCCAAAAAGGGGGGGGGTCGTACGGGCTTCACCAAAATCCCCATCGAATGCTGTGCCCTGCATCCTAATCAACGGTGTGTAGCAACAGAATCGTCCTGTGCAGCTGGTGGGCTGCGACATCCTTGCGGCGAAAAGACAAATCATGCGTTTGGCTTGATATCACCCAGGATCGAGTCTTGTGATCATTTACGATTGAGTTTTTGGTTTTTTTTTCCCTTTAGAGAATGGAAAAGTTCATTAGAGCATGAATTTCATTAGGGTCTTTAACATTTGCTCTGGTGTGTCATCTTTTACAGCAGCTCACAGGAAAACTTGACCATTCATCTATCGAATGTTGACGCTGATGACTGCAAAATCATGTGGGTCACAAAAGCGTGAGGAGAACTACTGCCTTATTTGATTTCTTTCGTTTTTGCTTACTGAAGTGCGTCTATGGATCCGCCAGACAATTGTGTGTTACTATCAAGAGAAACATCGTTAGATTTTCAATTATTGATGGAATCTGGTAAACGTTGCGGATGTACGCTGTAGTAGATCAGTTGCTCCAATCGCAAAGCTATCGGCTAGCAAATGCACCTCCGTGAGCTGCTGCGTCATTCGCCGCGCGACGCGCCGCGTGCCGCGGGCGCTGCCCCGGACGATTCTGTTGCACGTCTCCCCTAATCAACGGGTTCACCTATTCCTTGGCTACTGCCGTTTGGACTCCAGAAATGTCGTCAACGAGCTCATTTTTAATTGCCTAAGTCACCAACTTGTATATAGGGGTAGTTTAACATCCTGATTACGAATATGACATTCACTCTTGTCGCTGGCGCTAAGGATGACACTACGATTACCTCCTGGGCTCAGCCTTAGCAGAGCGCAGATAATCGTAGTGTCATCCATTAGCGCCAGCGACAAGAGTGAATGTCATATTCGTAATCAGGATGTTAAACTACCCCTATATACAAGTTTTTAGCGCATTTGGTGACTTACTTTGAATGGAGACCTAGGTACATCGATAGAGCTCGAATGCTGATTACGAATATGCAGATTAAAAGTGCTACGGGGACCTCCCAGACGAGATCTGGGTGGTCAAAGTTTGAGTTCTGGCTCGTAAGCGCTGCTGATCGATGCCTCGGCAGTGCCACCGTGGCCTCGTGGTAATGGTCTCGCTTTCAAGTCAAACGCATGCGGGTTTGCATCCGGTTGGCGCCGTAAGAGCTTCAACTCTAATTTTCGAAATTCTTCCGAATTTACGGCCCAGCAGGGCAAGTAGATCAAGTACATCAAGTATACGACGTACTCGATCTAGTATGGATTTGGTCATATCTGCCCTCTCTGAACAGGTTACCCATCCGACAATTCAAAGTTTTAGCGAGAAACTCGTTCATGGGAGATTTCGACCCCCTGAACACGAATATCACATCCTTCGACGAAAAAACGCTCGTCTGGCCAAACTTGCGATTCTGGGCAAAACTTTGAATTGTCGGATGGGTAACCTGTTCAGAGAGGGCAGATATGACCAAATCCATACCAGAACGAGTACGTCATATACTTGAAGTACTTGATCTACTTGCCCTGCTGGGCCGTAAATTGGAAGAATTTCGAAAATTAGAGTTGAAGCTCTTATAGGGAGCGAAGCAAAAATTTTCGCGCCAACCGGATGCAAACCCGCATGCGTTTGACTTGAAAGCGAGACCATTACCACGAGGCCACTGCCGAAGCATCGATCAGCAGCGCTTACGAGCCAGAACTCAAACTTTGACCACCCAGATCTCGTCTGGGAGGTCCCCGTAGCACTTTTAATCTGCATATTCGTAATCAGCATTCGAGGCTCTATCGATGTAGGTCTCCATTCAAAGTTCCATGGGAAGTTCAAACCATTCCCTTGTTAGGCAATTACCTCGGTACCGAAATTTCTGGAGTCCGAACGGCATTAGCCGTGTTCCTTCCGTCCAATCTACAGCCCGACAAACCAGTGCATACATATTATCGTCATCTTCTAACCGGTTAGTTGTGTTGCTTAACCACCATGCCTTCCTTTTTGTCATTCTAATATTTCCATTTATCACAATGTGTTATTTGTATTGCCACATTTTTTGCGACGTAAAATTGTGGTTTTCATATGAATCTTTTCAAATAATCGTCTTGTCATGCGGCAATGAGCATACAATCGATGATCACTTCTTCATCAGTTGTCTCTATGTTTCTTTGTCTGTCTCTCAGCATAATCCACCACACACCGCACACACACACACACACTTGGCGTACTATACATAGCAGGATAGGGAGATGGCGTGGAAGGGAGAGGGGGAGGTGTTCGTCGCAGAAATGCTCTTAAATGATGAGACGGGTTCTAATTGTCGTGCACAGGTAATCCACTGCTCTGTTGTACACGTCATGCACCACTGACCAGCTCGCCGTTGGTCAAGCAGCGCTCTCAAGTGCGGCGCCTTGCTGAGTATTCCTTCACTTCCAGTGCCTAAGATGAGCAGGAATTACTAGACGTGAGCGTCGCGGCGAGTCGAAACACATGGAGTGGCTACAGTTTGTCTCTTTGAAGATGGTCACGTCAAGTGAGAAGATGCAAACTAACCTGCGTGGCATGACCGATATTCATGGTCCATTCGTTGATGTCTCTTTTAAGGCCGAACCGCCGAATCTCAATTGCCCACTGTGACACGGCATCCTGAAATGGTATGAGGTTCGGACTGCGTGAAGCTTTTGATTCACGTTCCAAGACTTCTATTGCAGCCATCTCTGAGGCGGCACCCGCGATTATCCTGCGTACAAAAGCGCTTCACTGCACAATGTAACGCGGTCAGCAGTTGCAAAGCATGTCCTGCTTTCGCGACTTGAAAACGCTTGATGCGAGCGCCACGTCTTAGACAGCGTTCAGACTTCTGTAATGAGCGCTGTAGCGCTCGTCGACGTGTTACAATTACAACTGCGCTCCAAGGCTATAGACGCGAACGCAGCCGCAGACTTGCCAGTGCCCACCAGTAGCAGTTTGTGTGACTAGGCAACATCTACGCGTTACAGCGCATTACAGCGCGTCAACGCGCGACATCGCGAACTCTGTACGCCGCCTCAGCGACGCTAACCTAGCCCCGCCTTCGTAAGCGGGATCCATCTTTATGGTTTCGTTTTACCATCGCTACACAGGGGTCCAGAATGTGAGGAATTTCGCCCAGCTCGTTTCAGCCACATATGTTCAGGATTTTCTTGCCGATTCGACCAGTGCGTAACTTAGCTGTACACAGTATTTCAAACGAAAATTTATATGTGAGACACACCTCAGCTGCATACATCTTCGATGCCCTCGTAGACTGAAGTCCTTCTATAGAGTAAAGATTCTCTCCGATTCCATCCCAATACGAATGAACCATTTGACATTGAGCCTGCTCAGCCCATTTTAGAGCTGACTTCTCCAATGAGCAGTTATACTTCTAAACAGCAATTTACTTGTGAGAAACGTCGGATATCCATCACATCAGTCTTCGCGCCTTCAATACGCCCAATTAGTAGGTCAGATCAGGGTGTGAAAAGAGGTGCGCTATCTGGTGAAAGTAAGAAAACGACGTGTCATCCATCAAGTTTGTAATCAGGAAACCTGTATTGTGTTAATATCTGTGACGTAACAGTGCGTTCCAATGTGCTATAAGCTACATTAATGCTTTTTCTACATTCCATAATCGCAGCCAGCACAATTGCTCAAACATGTACCCAATGAGGATATCTCCTCTCATCAATCTGAATAAGGTCACGCATACTTTATACCACTTCTCCATTCCGCGCTTCTATCTTTCGTCTTTCGCCTAAAGCCAAGCGTCGCTCTACTCGAAACACCGGGCTGTGAAGAGCAATTGTGCCGCTCTTAAGAGAACAGCCGAAGACAGAAAGAGATGGGAAGATCACTTTGAGGGGAACGAAGAACTCCCCCACAAGGACGCCCGCAGATACAGGCGGCAACCCTTATCACCATTTAGATAGAGGAAGAAATTCTTCGAGTGATGGGAAGGATGAGGATTGGGGAGGTCTCGGAGAGCAGTAAGTCGGCTTACTCACTTCCCCGCCCAACACAACAGCCGAAGGAGGGATGCGGAATGCGTTCAGAAGCAGTTCAATTGTCCCCATATTGCAGAGGAGACGCGACGGAGTACTTTCAGTACCCTATCTCGCACGAACAGTTCGGCTTCATGCCCGAAAGGTCCACCACTGATGCCATCTTCATCGCCAGACAGCTGATGGAGAAGTACCGAGAGAAGCGGCGACCCTGCTACCTAGCCTTCCTGGACCTTGAGAAGGCATTCGACCGCCTGCCTCGGCCTATGCCGTGGAAAGCGCTCCGAGAACGAAATTTTTGGGAACACCTGTCTTCATGCTAAAGGACATGCAGTCGGGTTATGGCAGCCGTGTTGACCCCCCCCCCCATGGCTCGGCAAATGAGGTGAACTTCACCAAGTTGGGTACATCAAGGATCAAGATTGAGCCCTATTCTTCTTCCTAACCCTCGACGTCATGGCAAAAGAGCTTGTGGGGGGGCCACCGAACACCATCAGACATCTCCCTGATAGCGGACAACAAGGAAGACCTCCAGTTTAAGGCGCAAAGGAGACAGGATGTACTGGCGAAAAAGGACTCCTGTTAAACGCCGAGAAGACCAAGTTCCTGAGTTCCGAGGAGTGCACCGAATCCATAGTAGATCGCCACGGTGAAAGCTTTAAAAGGGAAGAGGACTCCCGGTACCTGAGGAACAATATCGCAGCTGATGTTGGTGTGGACCAGGCGGTAAACGCTTGACTCAATGCAGCCAGGATGAAATGGAGGGAGTCTAGAAGCATCCTCTGCGACGGCGGTCCTTGAGAAGCCCTGCGGCCAAAAAGGGTCAGTAATGAGGACCTCAGTGCAGACACACAGACCGATCCAGATGAAGGTACGAGAGCCGTGATGCGACGGTGTGGTCACATTTCAGGAGGCTTAAGGACCATCCGATTAGGAAGGGTTGCAATTCAAAGCACGGGGCAAAGGGCCACGAGGTCCCCCAAAATATAGATGGAGTAAAGCCATCGATAGGAACATTTCAGAAATGGATGCCATGGGAGAATGAGCTTCGATTGGAGCCAGTGGCGACGTCTAACAAGCATTGCGGATCGTGTTAGGACTAAGCCCAGAGAAATAGAAGGCTCATCGATTTCGCGCAGGAGCCCTATTGGTCTTGTTTTCAGAGTTCCCAACCTGATTTCTTCGGTGGACGTAGTCACAGAGGCAACATAGACCTTCTACCGCAGTCGTAATTGCAGGCGGGTAATCTCTTCGAATGCTTCATTCAGTGTTCTTCTGTCAGAATCAGCATCAGTTTTGAGGGAGCTGCGGGGGCGGATGCACAAAGTCTGGTCAAAAAACTTCCGTAGCATGACTATGCTGGTTGAATGTTGTCATACAAGGCACGTCACGGGGTTAGAAATTACGCGAGTTGAGTAAGAAGGTGAGGTTGTCCATTAATAGGGCAGAAAAGCCGTAGCGCAACAATCGCACGGGTCGCACGGCCAGGTAACCATTAGAAACGAATGTTGGAGGTGGCATGGGGCGGTGTGTAGAGCATCGCCCTCGTCACGAGCACACAGCGTCCTTATCACGCATTTCCTAGCCGCGACTGGGGTACATCCCCTGTATCTGCGAACAGGACTAACATATCCAAGGAAAGCCCTGCACATCATGTTAACGTGGGAGGTGCCTCGGAACTTACCAGTTGGTACATCCGAGTAGCAGGTGGAAGTTTCTGCAGTCCACTGTCTGGTGCGTCTATTTTGTAATCTCCTTTTGCCACTATAGACCGCTGCTTATTGTGCTCACGTAAAAGGAGTTGTCTGAGTTCGTTGTTCATTGGTCCGCCACAACTCTCATTGATCATACCGAAATCAGACTCCTGGTTGGTAAGGGTTCTCGTTGTTGTTCTCTGGAAAAGGAATGCGATCAGAAGGTAGTTAGTTTATAGTCCGTTTGCCCATCATCATTTTTCGGGGTACTTTTCGACACCTGCCCATTATTGTTGTTCTCACCCTCTTCGGTATCAGGTAGTCTGTCCTCCTTCTGCCCATCGTTGTCGTTCCAAAACACTTCAGATTGAAAAACTGGTCCTTTGATCGTTTTGGAACCAGGTAATGACCCGACGGCCATGTAACCATCATACTTTTTCGCGGCCACGGACATATCAGAAGGCCATTCGTCAGTCATGGCCTCACCATTATGCTCCGCGATCACTTGGACATCAGGAGATGATCGGATCAAAATCGCTGAAAAGTGGTAATTAATACATCGAAAACGAAAATGTCTTAGGAATGGAAAAGAAAAAAAGAAGGAGAACCGGATGGTGGGACCTGTAAAAGAAATCGGGGCGTCCCAGGAGGGGTAAGTCAGCAATTCCAAGTCAGCAATGTACAGTAGCTTTCAGTTATTGAGGAAGGCTGGGTAGTCAATTGTAACATGGAACGTACTAGGGAGAGGACACAGTGGTGGAGTAGTCCAGGCACGACGGAATCCTCTTCCTCGAGGAGGCTACTGTTGCACCACGAAAAGTCCCAGGCTTCTCCCTCCATGGCACATAGCGCCGAAGTCAGTGCGTGCAGAGGGAAGTGAGCGACATGGCAGCTCAACAACGAGCACTTTCGAATAGCAACATACGTATCCCAAGAGCGAAAAGTGTGAGAACACCGGCAGGGACGACGAGGTCAGCTTGTTGGGGCAGTGGTCGACTTCGCACGTCTTCGTAAGCTTCGTAACCATTCAACTGATAAACGAGTACGCAAGTACGTAGAGTAGCTTCTCAAGGCATTAGTGACGAGTCCGACTGAGGCCCACCCACACAGGGATGGGTTGCTATAGAGGGATAGCATGTGAGTCATCAGGATGTAAACGTGGTCAAAGGATAACACCAACTAAAGCGGTTCTTACGTGTTTTACATCAGCAGAAAATTTGGCATAAAAGTCAGAGTCCGCACCAGCCCTTCGGCGAAGGCCGGCAAAGGGTTTACAATCCATGCTGGAGGGCAAAACGGAACATTAAAAGCTCTTGGCAGTGGCAACCCGTGCCGATTTTCCTATCCTATAGATCTCTCAGTCTAGCATTTCTTTTGTCTGCACGTCGTAGGCATGACGTCTTCCGGAAAGATTAGCTTACACGGAACACTATGGGAAGGCCGCAGCAGAGCTAGTCGTCGTTTAGCTCATTCTCAGCTGCTCCTGACAACCCGTCTATTGGTAGGGTATGAAAGCAGGTCCATCACGATCACAACACATCCATCTCTTCCTTAGCCTTCCAAGGTCCCATATCCAACTGGCGGTTCCTGACAGAGAGCGAAAGCTAGTCGGTGTGGTTCATGTGTCATAGCCATCCCGAACACAAGTAAAGTCATGGTAATGAATGTACGAGCCGTGATGGACAGAAAAAATGAGCTCCCAAGCTCGGGACTTTGAACCATGGGGAACAGGGAAAACGCTTGTTCTCTCAGCCAAAATGAATAACGGGCGAGCTTAGCCAGTTCAAATGTCCCTGCACTATTCTGTTCCGCTGAAACGACTACTCCGCCCACTCGAGGCCCACACTTCAGCCTCTTCTCTGGGCTTTGCCTCTGATTTCATAGCTGCATGCGTCAGATCTCCACGTTGCGCCAAACTTCATGTGGTCGCTGAAATCGCAGCCGAAGCGTAGATATTTTCGCCGACATGCCCTTCGGAGTGAGCGTTTGGTCCCTGTTTGAAGTAATTTCAGCTGCAGATTCCCCAGAGAGCAGTGGTACTTCTGAAATGTGACAGAAAAACGCATTAAAGTCCCAGCACTGACTTTAAGGGTAGCTCAGGTCTTGTGCCTGGTGTAGCGGGTACAGCATCGTTGTGTGAAACACATGCGGGGGAGGGTCGTACTTGGCCGCTGGGGATGGGTGGGGGTGGTATTTGGTTGTTGTTGTTTGGATGAAGGGGGTCTGATGTATGTACCTTGAGGGGAATTTGCTGCGTCGGGAAAGTTTTCCTATCTATCCCCCTCCTAGTTTCCAGTTGGTGGCGCCTCGGCTCTGCACAACATCTGGTTTACTTCGATAGTTGAGAATATTAGTCGACTCGGGACGACTCCCCTCCCCCCTCCCTCCCGCTCGACAGAACGACAGAAAGGTGAAGAAAGTGGTAGGTGTCGGGAAAGGGGGGGGGCAGGTCGCACAGAGACCCTCCTCTGGGAGGGGGGGGAGAGATCGTACTGACATCACCATTTCATACATCACGATGCCTTACCCTGGGTGTGGCACAGGTGAAAGAAGACACTCCCTTCTAAGCCTCGGAAAAGCTCCGAAAGGGAAGATCGCGTTTCACCAAGGATGAGATTCACGCACAGCTGAGCGCTGTTTCGTAATCTTTCGGACTGCGGACCTCTGTTACATCTGCGTCCGAACTAGTTATCGCTTGAAGTTAAGATAAGACGTACCACCCAAGGCTGC